AGCTTAATGCTCATTGGTTCAGACAACTGTGATGCTGCGTTCTCTTATTAAATGTTTTATTTTTTTTATCTGGTTCCATGCGGTTATGTATTTAAATTATGCGTGAATATTCCCAAACATTATGACAGTGCGATCTCTGTGTGAGATATGTGATTGTTGTCATATTTATATAAAAATCTAAAATACATGTTTGTATTAAAACCAGTTAAACTGGTTTTAATACGGGTCCAAAATGACGTTAAAAATGTTTATGCTTCATTTACATAGCCTTCCTTATATGGTATCAGCCCATATATGGGTTCATTTGAAAGCTGAACTGAAATTATATCATGTTTATTAGCAACACAGCACCTGAGTGAGAATAACGCGATATCCGCCTTTGATCTCGTTGGTATCTGTTCCACTTTGAGAGGTCATAAATGTTCGTCTTGACTGCTATTATTTCACTCCCCCCCTCACTGCAGCCGCCTACTCTTGCCTACATTTCAGAAGCTTCCCAGAAGCGGCTCGCTAAAGATATGTGCCTCGCCTATTTTTGACGGTACGAGTGTGCGCTCGAATATGCTCTAGATCCGCTCTCGCAATACTTTGATGTCATACACCGATCAGTCTGCGCAGCGCTGCTTCAAGTCGAACATACTTATTGGGTTTGTGGTGTTGTTGTTGTGCGCGCTAGGGAGCGTATATCCGCCATACGTCATTGCGTCGCTATATCATTGATACCGCAATATGACACTTTTTTTTATCATGTAAAAATTTATACCGGTATCATCATGGACGGTATGATATGGCACACCCCTAATATATGGTGCATTCCAAATGCGATATTTCGCCCTCCGAAGGGCACTTCGGAGTGAAAACAATCATGGCCGCCATATTTAAGGGTCGTTCCAAACCGAAGTGCTCAAAAAAAAAATTAACATCACCTTTGCGATTATGACTATCACTAGGCTTGTGAATTAGCCGAACTTGAACAGGGACATTAAAATGCTTAACACAAATAATGCTTAATGTTGCTTAAGGTACCAAGATAGTGATAAAGACAAAATTGTAAAGCATACTATGTGTAGATACGTACATAAGCCACAAATGTGAACGCAACACATTTATTGAAATGTCCGCTGAACTTACATCGTTTATAGTGTGAATCACCAAATGCGTTATGAAATGTCCGTTGAGCATAGGTAGTTCGAAACAGTATCCAATTCCAAATAAATAAAACAAAACCCACCCCTAAACACAACAAGTGAAGTACAATTAGCACAAGAATAACTATCAACTTCTTTCTTTTAGAATAAACAACAACAAAAAAAGAGGGTTGCACTTACACTTTCCCTAACATGCTTGGCTTATCTTCAATCTCCGTTTTAAATCATGTTAACGGCATAATTTATCTCCAAACACATCATCAGCGGGAGAATCAAACACTCCCAACACGACTTCAGCGGCAGACTCGAATCACTCCAAACACAGCATCAGCGGGAGAACCAAGCACTCCAAAAACACTCAGATTCAGTAGATTCAGCGGGAGATTCAAACACTCATAGTTCGGCTTGAGCATCTCCTCCGTGGCCATGGAAAAATGTATATTTACAATGACAACAATTATACTTCATCATTAACACGTTTCCAACAAAGAAACAGATCGACTTCTGTCAGCTTGTTGAAAAAACACTATATTTGGATAATCTACCATATGACGGCTGAAGCAGCAGCGGGCGACACTGTTTTCATGCTAATCAGATCAACATTGTAAACAAAATTCTACAAAACACAAGAGATAAAATCTGATTATCATGCGAAATGATAAACTAGTTTTCTCTTCTCCGCAAATGATCCAATGAAGAATGTGAATATTTAACTTCAAGGCAAAAACAAGATAAGCAGGTATCCGTATTAATTTCAGCATTTGTAGCAGAGAATGATCCTCCCAGAATGGCGGTGGCGCCCCAGCATGCAACGCGCATGATGTAGCTTCACATTCTCTATAAAAATGCATCAAAATGGCCAAAAAAGTTGTATAGCAAATGTCTACTTTACACTGTTACATCAGGGTTCATCAGGGTTACTAAGAGTTACTGAAAATGAATAATTTTTACTTTTATTTCAGAGATGATTGAAGAAAACAACGAGAAAGCAGAATTGAGTGAAGTTGAGGAGAAAAATCATGTGAAAAATGGAGAAAAACCTTTGAGTTGCTCTCAAACCAAACAGAAAGATTTAAAGAAAAGAAGAGCCAAGAAATCTTTCACCTGCACTCAGTGTGGAAAGAGTACAAGCAGATTCAACTGTGAGATTCAGATCAACTCGATGGAGTTCCTCCCCAAAGAACAATGTCAAAAAGTTGTATTCTTGTATATAATTTTG